TTAACAGATTACAGCCTGCATTTGAAAATACTGGTATGGGGGATATAATGCAAATATTTCTTAGCCCATGTTTATAATCCACTGGGGGCTAAAATGTAAAAAGCTATACACAAGGCAATATACGTGTAACAACTGGCATTCCTTTGGGTTGAAACTCCCAAACACAACCAGCTTTTCCTATTTTCTAAGGGCTTATCAAGAGCAGTGAATTAAAAAGGTAGTTTTTATCTTTTTTTGTTTTCAAATAGGATAGGAAAAAAAAACATCTAAGACATAGAGTAGGGATTTTAAGAGTAGGGTATAAAAATGTATATCCGCCACTATTTTTAGGTGGATTCTACTTAATAGACCCATTTTCTCTTTAGTTATAAAATATTATAATTGTACCTTATATACAGAAAGTAAATGGTCAATAAAATATCATTGGAAATCTCTTTTGTTTTTTTGATCTGAATATCCAAACCTGATTATTTTTCTTTCAACCCTTAAGTATGTAAACATTCTTGAAAATTCTGAGTTGGAGTTTAGGAATAATGGTTCTAAGGCAATTACTATGTAATTTTATGCATAAAGTTATGCAGGATGGGTGGAGCTTCATGGAAGACAATTTATCCATGGACGGTGGGGTGAGGGGACATTAGGGTTGCAGTGGGGGACAGGTGGAGGTGGAGCTCCGCTGGTGATGCACGGCCCAGTTCCTAATAGGCCATGGATCAGTACCAGGCTGCGGCCTGGGGATTGGAGAGATGTAAAGTATCTCTTTGTAGAGTTGCTACATAACTAAGTAATTCATGATCATTTTGGGGTCATGGACGCCTTTGAGAATCAGTGAAACCGATGGATTTTGCCCTTTAGAAAATTGCCCATATGCTTACACATGCACTGAAATTTCTGCATATACTAGTAGGGGATCTGTGGATTCCTTTCGTCCTTTTATGAACTCCTTAGAACTGAAAAGGTTAAGGGCCCTTTTTTCTAGCATTTTTAAAGAGCGTTTTGTAGACCTTAGCTTAAGAGGCAAAGCTAGATATTCATGGGGAGTGGACCCCTTAAGGCACTGGGATTAGTTATCCTGTGGTTGTCATCTGCTTGCCTTAAATTTCAGATGAAATCTAAATTTCAGATTCAATTTTGAATCTGAAAAGGGAAATCACAACAAAAATCTTTAGTGATTTTTGGGAAAATCACTTCTGGTTTTTTTCTTGATCTTTTATGAACTAGGGCTCAGAGTAATTTATAAAATGCATTTTCACCAGGAATGATAAAAGGATATTCCAAATTTAAGGTAATTTAAAGTTCAGAATTTTAGCCCACTAGACTTTATAAGTTCTAAATATGTTTAGAACTTATAAAGCATTTTTCATGTATTTTTCCCAACATTTTATAGGAAAGTTTTCAAACATACAGCAAAGTTGAAAGAATTTTACAGTTAACAACTGTGTACTGATTGCTTTGATTCTATCATTAACATTTTACTGTGTCACGTGTCCATTCATCCCTCTATGTGATACTTTCTATGCTATTATGTCCCTTGGCTTATGTAACTTAAGATTATTACCATTTTTTAAAATTTGTCTGACTCATTCGTTTTCTTTGGATCATTATAAATTTGTCCAAATTTTCATCTTATATGATTTCCTCTCAGTGATCAAAATTAATAGGGCCTCTCTCTCCAAAGTAGTAGTCTCATTAGGGTGCCATTCTGTGTGTGGTTTTTTTATGATTTCCCCTTTCTAAAGAGAGTTTAATTTCTTTATTTTTTGTTGATTTAAATATATACTTAAACTAATTTAGAGGTTTCAGGTAATTAAAGGAAAGATTCTGGGGAAAACATATAATTATTCCAGAATAAAAGATACAGGTATTTGAAATCTCCTCTCATATCATAAATGAGGAATTCGAATCTTAAAGCTACTCAACTAGTACAGGTTGAGCATCATCTCTAAACCAAAAATCCAAAATCCAAAATGCTCCAAAATCTGAAACTTTTTAAGTGGCTAATGTGATACCACAAGTGGAAAATTCCACACCTGACTTACTGTCATGCCACAGTCAAAATGCAGTCAAGACTTTGTTTCATGTATTAATACAAAGCTATTAAAAAATATTGTGTACAATTACTACTAGTCTATTTGTATGAAATGTGTATGAAACATAATGAATTTCATGCTTGGACTTGGGCCCCATCCATAAGATGCCTCATTATGTATATGGAAATATTTTAAAACTCGAGAAAGTCCAAAATTCAAAACACTTCTGGTCCTAAACATTTCTGTTAAGGAATACTCAACCTGTAGTACACTTGACATTAGAAACCAGGGCTTTTGACTATTCACCTGGGACATTCTTATGCTGTACTTTTTCACTTTATTTATTCCAGTATTTCTCCAATAATTGAAATAATGATGGTGGACATATATAGAATGTCTGCTGTGTATCAGGCACAGTGCATGCAGTTTCTGATTTCCTTCACATCTCTGCAGAAGAGGTATTAACTTTATTTTGCAGGTGAGGAAACAAGTTAAAGAATATGCACAAGATCATCCAGCTACTACCTGGCAGAGCCTGAATTCATATTCATGACTGATTTCAGAGCATGTGCTCTGTCCACCTTGTAATCTCTGATTATTAGCAAGTTCATTTGTCTCTCCAGGGCACCCTAATGTATCTCACTGATGACCCATCTTGTTTTTTTAAGTCCAGTTTACCTGTGTTTATCTTCTGTATCAGCATTTTCTTCTATGTATGGTAAATCTTTTGCATTATGTCCAAATTGGAAAACAATATTTTTATTTTCTAGAGTGCCCTTATGCCTGCACAGCTGTTCTTTAAGACAGAAGATGGAGGCAAATATCCAGTTATATTTAAACATGGAGACGATTTACGCCAAGATCAACTTATTCTTCAAATCATTTCACTCATGGACAAGGTGAATATAACCTCATGGTGATGGGGAACATTATTTCATTTTCAGAAAACTATGGTTTGGTACATATGCCATTGACAGAGACAGAAGTATTTGTAACATTCAGGTATAATCCTAGAAAGTTCAACAATCTCCAGTTGACCTTGAACAAGTTTGTTTTTGTACACTTCAGAATGGTTCTTGTGATGAATATAAAAAGAAACTGCATGTGTTTAGAAAACATTAAAAATATTTTGTAAATTGAGTTCTCTCAATGTCAGATTTAGTAATTTTTTCCTTATTCTATTTTACTTATTTGTTTGAATATTTATTCATATTTAAATTCCCATTTCTTCCTCTGGTTTTAAAAGTATGTTACTCTTATTTCCTTTTTTCTGAATTTCAAAGTATTTTATGTCCAGAAAGAACTGCATGAAGTAGTAGGAGGGACTCTACTGTTCATTGAAAACTGCTGACAGATTTAGAGTAGATCAAAAATTTAGCCTACCATCATGTAAGTGGTTAAGAAATTTAATTTTGATGATTAAAGTTAATTTATTTAATTAAACTTAATTTATATTTACCTCCTAAATCTATATTATGTTAAACTGCTATAATATTTGCCCACAAACTGTTTTTTAAACAATCTTTACATTTAGTTAATATATTTTATCTTTTATTCAAAAGCTATTACGAAAAGAAAATCTGGATTTGAAATTGACACCTTATAAGGTATTAGCCACTAGTACAAAACATGGTGAGTTTATTTTACATCATGATTGCTTATTTCAATGTCCAATAATTATATATTTCTTTTTTTTATCTGGAAATTGTTAAGAATGTTAGAGATTGAACTTACTTGTACACTGAAGTCCAGTTGGGCTGGCCTGCCTGCCTCCCTCCCTCCTCTCCCTTTTTTTCCTTCTCTCCCTTTTCTTCCTTCCCTCCCCTATTCCTCCCCTTACTTCCTCCCTTCCTCCCTTCTTCCTTCATCATAAAATGGCATATTCAGAAAACAAATTAACTTTTATAAATGTATGTTTTTGCATTGAAACTGGTTGAAATTCACAGTAGTTTCTTACATGGTAATTTGCATTCTAAGTTGTCGTTTTAAGAGTTACCATGACCCAGAAAGGCTTTGTACTGTTCTCTGCTTTTAAAAGCCACTCAGCAAATGATGTCAACTGAGTTCTGTTTTATATACTTCAACCGAGTTTGTGGAGGTGGGATTGTGTGTGTGTGTGTGTGTGTGTGTGTGTGTGTGTGTGTGTGTGTGTGTGTGTGTGTGTATACACACCTCAAGCATCTCAGTCTTTTTGAGATTGAATGACCTCTTGAAGTTTGGTGGAAGATTCCCTAGGAATTCTGGCCTAATGCATATTGTCAATCCCATAGTGTTTTTACTCTTAGAGCTTTATACCAGTAGTTACAGTAGTTGTCTTAGAGAAACAAAATACCTATTTTAGATTTTCTGTCCTTTCCCTGGCCACTCCCAAATCTTTTTGATGGTTTAATTATTCTTTTTATTTTCTCCTCAGAATGATCTTTTGAAAAGTGCAAATATGCTTCTTTACAGTCTTGCATAAATTTATTTACTAGCTTCCATTTCCTTTTCGGACAAAGACCAAAAGTCTTTACCTGGCTTCTAAATTCTTACACAGCGTGATACACCCTGGTACCTATCTCTCATGCCTCTTCTGCCACTTTCCCCTGCTTCCTAGGCTGTAGCCACGCTGGCTACCTTCTGTTTTCTCTAATGTCCCATGCTCTTTTCGGCCTCAAGGCCTTCACTTACGCTGTCATCCATAGCTCACCTCCATAGCTTTACCTGTTAACTTTATTTTACTTGAAAACATGGCTCAAATGTCAGATGTCCTTTGATCCCTACTATAACTCAAGTCTTCCTACATTATTCCCTTTCACAATACCCTTTCATTCACAGTATTTATCCCCATAAATATTGTAAGCTTTACGATGTATGTAGACAGGGTCAAGCATCTATTTTTGCTTACTTGGCAAAGTTCTTGCTACATAGTAGAAAACCAATAAATACCTGTTAAATGAATTAATGCTGACTATTCTGTATTTGTGATATAAGAATAAATGAGACATTTCTTACTCCAAAGGAGTGTATAATCTCCTAATTGACATGTAAATTATGATGTAAGGCTCACCAAAACCAGATCATGATTGTTTATGACCCTGAAATATTGTTTCCTTCATTCAGCTTTATATATCTATATATCTATATCTATATATTTGTTGTTTTACCCTCCTGTTCTGGTCCTCAGATTTGCCAGATTGACTTTTTTCTCATTCTCTCACATAGTATCCCCTTTTTCTTCTTTCTGTTAGTTTAAGGGATTTATACTTACCTCTCATATCATTTCCAGGAAATGACAGAAAATGGAGTATTAGACAAAAGGAGTCCATGGACTTACATACGTTACGTAGGATTCGGGGATTATATTCTACAATCCCCAATTTCTTAGAACGATTTTACATTTGGAATATTTTTTATTAGTATATGTTATAAACTACAGAAAGAAGAAATTTTTGATGCTAGATTTAAGAACCTTAGTGTATTACTTTGTGTCCCTCATGTTCTAAAATAGAAATTAGCCTAGAGAAACATACAGATTAAATCAGCTTAATTTTTAAAAAGTTTTCCTTTAGTTACTATGACATAAATGTCAGTATAAACTTAATATAATGTTTATAGACCTTTTTAAGTTGTTCGTATGTGGATTTACATGTATAGATGAAGATGGCTCTTAGCAGAATCTTTGTTTTTATTTCTTAACCATTAGCTGTGCTTAATTCGGTGAATTCATTCCTGTGTAGGCTTCATGCAGTTTATCCAGTCAGTTCCTGTTGCTGAAGTTCTTGATACAGAGGGAAGCATTCAGGTACAGTGTCAATTTTAAAGATAAAATTCATAAATATATTCTTATTATAATAAAGTCAATCTTTATGAAAAGTATACGGAGGTAAAAATGAAAATCTTTTTAATCCTTTTTTACTCAAGTTTTCCCCCCATTCTTCAAAGAGAACATTGTTCACAGTTGGAAATTCCTCTATGTTAATACATGCAGATGCTCAATTCCTTGAATGAGCATATTACGTACGTGGCACATAATAGGAGATCAGGAGTTAATTGGTGAACAAATTAAAAATTTGTTAGTTTACGGCTGCATTATTTTTCAAAGTATGAAAATATTATAATTTATTTGACTATTGATGGACATTTTGATTATTTCAATTTTTGTTGTTATTCAGAACAGTGCTATAGTGATATTCTCGCTTGTACATCTTTTGTACAATTTTTCTTCTATGACCCCTGTTTTTTACCTCCAATCTCTTGCTCCCCTTTAATACAAGAAGAGGTGTGTTGCTCTTGAAATAAAGCAGTGTATATCGTTGGAATTTTCTTACACTTTAAATATATGAGTTAGTTCTTGTCACATCTGAATGATTTATTTTGTTTTTTTTTTTTAACTATAATAGTCATTTTTCTCTGTGTAAGAAAAATGTATATAATTAACATGTAAATATTTCTTCATTCATTCATGCATTCATTCAGAGATAGGGTCTCACTTTGCTGCCTAGACTATGATCAGGGCTGTGGCTCCAATCATAGCTCACTATAACCTCCCACCTCAGCCTCCTGAGTAGCCAGGAGTATAGGCATGCATCAGACTTGGACAATTTTTTATTTTTTGTAGAGACGGGCTCTTGCTACGTTGCCCAGGCTGGTCTCATACTCCTAGCCTCAAGTGAGCCTCCTGCGGTGGCCTCTCAAAGTGTTGAAATTGTAGGCATCAGCCACTGCAACTGGCTCTCTTATTGTATTTTTAGTAAGTTTTAAACCAGACACTTGTTGGTCGTTATATATAATTTTAAAATGACTAATTTGTTTAATTGTGTTGAATTCTTAAACATGTAAATAATGTCTTTTCAGAACTTTTTTAGAAAATATGCACCAAGTGAGAATGGGCCAAATGGGATTAGTGCTGAGGTCATGGACACTTACGTTAAAAGCTGTGGTAAGTTTTTCAAGCTATTACTTTCCATTGATATCTTTGAATAAAGAAAAGCAGGCCATCCTGATATTGCCATATGCATACACATTTAAAACATCTTAAGATTTAAATGCTATGTAAGAAGAGTGAAAGATAAATTGTTGATAAAGAAGTCATTAATGCTTTCTTTGACATAATAGTAGTAGCAATGTATAAATTCTATTTAGTCTTTTGTGAATTATCTTTGCAGTTCTAAACTATTTTATATTTACAAGTTATGTCTCCCTAGAAGCTGTTAATTTTCCTCTAGATTTTCCCTGTTTTTGAGTAACTACAACTAAGTAGACCATGGGAAAAGTCTCAGCCAGAAATAATCATATAACTAAGTTTGCTCATAAATGTGATCACGTACAGTGTATTTAGATTTAAAGACTAAAAAACACTGTTTGAAGCCTTAAAAGAAAATGTTTTCCCTTGCCTTCTTGCTCTGTATTTCTCTCTCTTTTCCCTGCCTCCCTTCCTGCTTTCCTTCCTTCCTTTCCCCTATTTCTCCTTTTCTCTGTTTTTCTCATACCTTCAAGTATGTGTTTCCTATGATCAAAAAAAATTACAAATCATTTAAAGACTCAATACCCAAGGTGGGTCACTCACATGACTGGTATTTACACTTTTAGTAGGTTTGTCAATTGAAACACCTATACATGCCCTCTCTGTGGCTGGGGCTTCTCAAAGATAGGTTCCAAAAGTAAGGAAATAGAAAATGTTGGTTTCTGAAGGCCTGGGCTGGGAAGCAGTACTAAATCACTTCTGTCATATTCTGTTGATCAGAGCAGTCATGGAACCTGCCTGGATTTGAGAGACAGGATACAGACCCAACTTCCGGATGAAAAGTGTGTCAAAGAATGTGTGGCCATCTTCAACACACTGCACCTAGTATTATTAGGTGCAGTGTTTTGCATGCTCTGAAATAATTATCTTTCATCTCCTTATTTGACTTTCAGAATGGCTACTATAAACTTTTTTTGGTCATAAATCTGTTTATAAAGAAAGGAATTTTAGCTTTTTCCATCTGAAACACCTACATACATATACCCTATACATATTGACTAAAATTTGAAAATCCTGCTTAGTAAAATTATCAGAACCTATGTTATAAGTACCTATGTTACAGGTACTTGCTTAAGTGTCATAACATCATGTCTTTTATATAATGGTCCATTTTTCCCCAAGAACTATTGAAAATATGACTGGTTTTTTTCATGTGGAAAGAAATAGCAATTTAAATTATCATACCTATTGGATAGTTAAATTCAAATTAGATCTTACTCTTCTCTCGTTTCCCAACATTACACATTTATTCATCCCTCAATAACTGATTTGATGGCAGGCCTTCTCTTCATCTTGAATAGTCTTCTTTTTTCTGTATGTCTTGCTGTGTTACAAAATAATCTGCTGTGTTTCAGTGAGTTTGGTAGCAGCCTAGGTAATGTTGGAGGATGAAAGCCATTATTTGAATTTTTCGTCAGTGGATACAGTGCTTAATAAAGTTGCTGCTTTGAACCAGAATCTGATTGTTGGACATTGTCATACAGATGTATATGTAACTTTCATTTTAGAAAGCAGTGTTTTGGGCCTGGCGCGGTGGCTCACGCCTGTAATCCTAGCACTCTGGGAGGCAGAGGCGGACAGATTGTTTGAGCTCAGGAGTTCGAAACCAGCCTGAGCAAGAGCGAGACCCCGTCTCTACTAAAAATAGAAGGAAATTAATCAGACAACTAAAAATATATACAAAAAATTAGCCGGGCATGGTGGTGCATGCCTGTAGTCCCAGCTATTTGGGAGGCTGAGGCAGAAGGATTGCTTGAGCCCAGGAGTTTGAGGTTGCTGTGAGCTAGGCTGACGCCACGGCACTCATTCTAGCCTGGGCAAAAAGAGTGAGACTCTGTCTCAAAAAAAAAAAAAAAGAAAGTAGTGTTTTGGTTTTTTGGCAAGGTGTTAGAAGAAGAGAGTGATAAGTTTGGGTGTCATCTTTTCCAGATTATGCAAGGTGTCAAGTTTATATCATACAAGTAAATGTGGGAATACTGATTATTATCACGCATATATGTTAATTAAGTGAAGAGGGATAGGATCATTTAGTCATCTGTTTTTCTCTGTGTTTTAATTTAAGTCACAGTTTTATAAAACTAATTTCAAGATGTTGCGTATTATAAATGGAGTCAGAATACTAACAACATCATTTTGACAAGATTTTTTGGACAAGTACAGCGTTTCCATTGTTGTGTAGTTAAAGGATAACTTCAGTTGCCCTAAAAATTCTCTAATAAATTTATTCTGGACTATCTCAAGTCATGCTGAGTATTATTTGTCTCCTTAACATTTCTGGCAATCATCCCACTCTTGGCTCAAGTGTCCTCTCCCCGCCCCCCCATGTATCCTATGTGTGAGGTACCCCCTAAGTATTGACACTTTATTGTAAAGTCCTAAATTCTCAGTTCTCATCTTCACCATTAAATATGGCCATATGTGTATACACACACACACATATGAGAAGGAGAGTGAATCACATGCTACCTCACTTGACTAAAGAAATTTATCAAAATGACCATGAAACATATTAATGACTATAAAACCCATGAGGGCAGGGTAAAAAGACTTTACATTTCCCATTTCCACATAACAACAAAATATCACTGTAAAAGCAAATTTGATGAGGAGGAGTAGTTTATACAAATAGTTTTCTTTATTCCGTAATGATACATGAATTCTTACATGAAAACTTTAGGCCAAAAACACTGTTGCTGCATCCTGTAGGGATAGGTAAACAACTTGAAGCAAAGTAAATAGTGATACAACTAAATTAATTGTAATTTATAATTTAAAAAAAAAAAGAATACTAAGTAGTTCTGTATTGAACAACTCAACTGCACCAACACACAATGATGTTCTTTTTGAAAACTGCAGGAGTTTCCACTGTCTTCCTATGTACATTATCAGTAATTCTGTGCTGTTGAGTGGCAGCTAGATTTCTAAGTGAAGCCCATTTTAGAGAACTAAGTGTACTAAGTTCTACTGTGTTCTCAGTGTACTATACTGAATTTCTCTTTATGAATTCAAATTTAATATCCCTCAGTAAGTCACTTAATAGGTTTTCAAAGGGGAGCCCTTTGTCATTTGTGGAATTGCGTATTTTACAGCAGTTTTAGAGCATTGCTACTCAAAGTGTGATCTATAGACCAGCGAGCGGCATTGGCTTCACCTGGGAGCTGGTTTGTATTACAGGATCTCAGGCTTTGCCCCTGATGTTTTGATCAGAATCTGCATTTTAACAAGATTCCCAGGTGATTCTTATGTACATTAAAACACTAAAGCAGACTTCTCAAACTTTGGTTTGCAATAACAATCTTTGAGAGCTTGTTAAAATGGACTTGTGGCTACTGCCCCTAGACATTCTGATTCAGTAGGACTGATGTGAAGCTTATGAGTTTACATACTTAACGAGTTTTTAGGTGATAGTGATACGCCAATCTGTGGATCACATTTTGTGTAGCAATGCCCTAGATCAAGGATCTACAAAATTTTTTCCTGTAGCTTTGCAGGTAGTAAATATTTTAGGCTTTTCAGGTCAGATGGTCTCTTGTAATCATTCAATCCTGCCATTGTAATGCTCAAGACAATATGTAAATGAACGATATTGCTGTGTTCCAATAAACTTGACAAATACTGAAGGGGACCAGATTTGGCCCTCAAGCTGTAGTCTGCTCTACTTTCATCTAGGGCCTCTCAAGTCCTCCCCAGTGGACCACTAAATGTGTTAGCAATTGCACTCAGCTGCATTTAACATAATCTAACTATGGTGGCTTAAACATACTAGAGTTTATTTTCCTTTTGTAATAAGACCAGGTGGAAGGAATTGCTGTTGCTTCGGCTGCTTAAGGTGGTTAGGGCCAGCCAAAGTCTCTGTGGTTCTCTCGGCCTTTTCCTCATGATCCCAAATGACTGCTGCAACTACACTCATCGTGTTTGCAATGTAGCCAGGAAGGAGAAAGGCGTAATGGGCTAATCTCTCTCAGCTGAGTCAGCCTCCTCTTTAAAAATGCTCTCCATGCAACTGCATTTTCTTACATTTCACACTGGATGCACGCCTCAGCCCGATGACCTTGGACAATCCCATTAATTCCTGGAGCCTGAGGTTTCTCATTTGAAGAATGGTTAAAATATTTAACTGGCATTATTAAAAGGGCTAGAGATGATGAATATAATATGCCAGCTAAAAGCTTAGCCTTCAGTACATTGTAACTGATTATTATTAATGAATTAATGATTGGTCTAATGATGATAGTATTGCTCAAGTTGCTTTTGGACTTCTGGAATGGCCTTCAGAATCTGAGTCAAATGAACCTTCATAATTATTGAATTTGAACAGGGTTAATTTGGTTATTAACAGGTAGTCCAATCTTATTTTTACATATGGGCTGAAATAAACATGTTTTTGTAAATACTATTATAGTTTTATATGTTTGAAAATTGTATTTGTTGTCAGGTTACTAATTGGAGAAATAAACATAGTGGGGAAAAAAATAGGCTACAAAAAGGTGCTATTTGCTAGATTCTGTTTGAGTAGTTTCAATAAATGCCAGGTTTCCAGACTTTTTTAGAAGAGAAAGATAGAATAAAACTGGAGCCAATGACTCTGCCTCTAGCCTTTATCATATAATTTTTCTTAATACTTTAGATTATTATGTGAACTTCATAATTCCCTTTACCACTCAAATGAATGCATTTGATTTTCTGTGTGCTGGCACATCAAGATTGTTTCTCTACAGACTTTTTTTTTTAACCCTGCATTTACTTCTGTAATCTTATAGATAACTTGGTAATGGATTATGGGAAGGTTGATGGTTGGTTGACTTTATTATGTGTACTTCTGTAGATACTTCTTTTTTAATGTTATCTTTAACATGTGTCCAATTCAAAATTGGAAATTGTAGATACATGTTATAATTAAGGTTCCCAAAACCTAATTTGATTTCTGATACAAGTGACTTTTATAATTTGACAAAATTCTACAAGATATTTTTTCTGTTGCAAATAGTAATTTCTTTTGAGTTTCAAGTGATAGATTCTTAATAGAGTCAAAGAAGATTATAAATTTGAGAATTTAAACAAGAAATCATAGTAGGAAGCAAATTGAAATTAAAATAGCACAAACTACTTTTATATGCAGTGGAATACATAACCTGGTTTTCATGTGTTTTTCACAATTTTTTTTTTTTGTTATTGCAGCTGGATATTGTGTGATTACATACATACTTGGAGTTGGAGACAGGCACCTGGATAACCTTTTGCTAACAAGAACAGGTAACAATGGCAACTAGCAGACATACATTTTATATGCCAGTGATTTTTACTCTGGAATCTACTTATTAATAAAATAAATTACATAAGATAAATCAGAAAGTCTTAAGAGTCCCTTTAAATGGTACCATGGAAGGACATTTAGGGAAACGCCCTTGTAAGAATCACTTTAGTAGTAATCCTACAGATGGTCAGCTTACCCTTGCTTCTCTGTACTTGAAATGTGTCTGTTGTGGAAAGCCTATCATGTATGCGAGTAGCCCCGTCTTTTACTGTATAGTTCTTAGTTAGATTGTTAGAATGTCTTTTCTCTTGTAGACTATGCTTAACTCACTTTAATATGTATTTAATTATTTGCTTTTCCCCTTGGAGTTTCATGGAATAATGTTTCTCATCCCCTTTCTTCCTGACAACTCTTTAGACCTGTGTCTTTAAATACCATCTCTATGCAAACAGCTTCCGAACTTACAGCTCTCTACCTCAGTCCATTTCATTAACTTCAAGTTGAAATATCCAGCTGCTTACTTGAAATCCTAATTAGTTGTGTAAAAGTTGTCTTCTTCCTCTACTCCCTGCTTAAAACCTGCTCCTCACCTCATTTTCGGGTTTTATTACGTAGCAATATCATCCACAGTTGTTCAAGCCCCAGACCTGGAAGTCAGTCTTAATACCTTGGTTGGCCTTGTGTCACATATTGAACTTATTGACAAATCTTGTTTACGCCTCACCACCAAAATAGATCATGAAGTTACCCACTGTCTTCATTTCCACTACTTTCATCCCCTTTGAAACCACCAACATACTTTGCCTAAACAATTTGAATAAAAGCTGAACTCTTTACTATGGTCCTGTCACTTGCCCATGCTGGTATTCTGCCTGAATGTCAAACTACTTCTGCCTCAGGCAAGTGCCCTTGTTATTTTCTCTTTCTGGAAAGCTCTTTATCCAGGTCTTTGCAAAGCTAACTTTACTTATTAAGTCTAAGTTCTAATGGTATCTCCTTAACGAAGCCCTTTCTGGCTCACTGATCTGTAACAATGTATTTGCCTCTTCCTCCATTATTTTCTACTTATTACTCTGTTTTGTTTTCTGTATAGCACTTTTCACTAGCTGAAGTTACCTCTTTTGATTAATTCAACCAGCATTTGCTGAGCACCTACTAGATGCTGGGGATACCAAAGTGAACAGGACAGACAGAAATCCTTCCCCTCATAGAGCTTGTTGACTTCTTACCATCATCTTCTCCCATTCAGAGTGCAGGTTCAGTAGGAGCAGGGACTTGTCCATCCAGGTTACTACCATGCCTCCAGAGCCTTGAATAGCACCTGCTGAAGTCTTCAGGAAATCAGTGTTGAATTAATGATGAATAAATATTTGTGCTCTTCCATGTAACCTTTTCTGCTCTGGGCTAAATAATCCTAGTTTCTTCATCTTTCTGCAAAAAATAGATTTTCACATTACTCTTTAAATTGGTTTCTCAGGTCAAGACATTTTTTGTTTTGTTAATATTCCTCTAAACTGTGATAGCCAGAATTTAACATAATACACAAAGTGTCGTTTGATTATTAGTATAATAACCCTATGAGTTTACAAATATGGAATTTTACATCTTCAATTTTTAATTATTACATGTGAAAAATCATCTGTTGTAGCCGCTTGCATGTGTGGTATCACGTGTGTGTAAAGGTCAGGCAATCCCTTTGATAACCAAGACTGAAGGAATATAATCAGATTGTCATGAAAGTTCTTGGCTAATTTAGCAAAGGATATTTAAAAATGTTATGGTGTGTCTGAAGAGAGTTATAATTTGCAAGTTTTCATGTGGTGTTTTCATTAGCTCTTGTTTTTGGTTAAATCTTTTAACCATAAGAATCAAGCTACCAAAGTGATTCCATTTGTTTCCAGACTATAATAATTTTATACCCAAAATGAAATTCTCTAATATATAGAGCAGTATTACATCTGTAATATTATATTCACAGATTCTACTTGATTCTTCTTTTGGAAATTGATAAACGATCAGATAATATAACAGACCTTTTTTCTGTTGGACTTTGAGAAGTGCTCTCTCTTGTGTGTGTGTCTGTATGTTTTGACAGGGGTATTTAAGAATAAGATTTAGAAAGAGGAATCTACCATAATATACTGTTTTTGGCCCAGATTTCAATTACTTATTTTATGCAAATTGAATAAAATTTCAGAAACACAGGCTTTAAGCATCATGTTACCAGTTTTCCACTAGAGGGTGCTCCAAATTTGCCTTTTAAAACACGTATTTACCTTAAAGTATGCTAGATAAGAGGCAGTTTTTTTCTATTAAAATAACAGTTCATTTTTTAACTGCTCTGTAATTGTTTCATCCAGTTACATTATGCAGTTAGCATTTTAAATCTTCCTTACTAGGATGAGTATTTTCAAATTTTCAGGTTTAGTTTGAAAGAAATTATGTAAGTAGAGACTGAGTATGTTGAGACAAATAGAAGTGTAATACATTCCTCAACTTCTAGCAATTTATAATAATTTAAGAATTTTTGTGTCTTTAGCCATCTTTTACTGATAGTCTTTACTGATAGTCATATTTCAAAGCAGTTTCAAGTTATATTAATTCTATATATGTTGTAAATAGACCTTGTATAGTTTAGACAAAGTAAATTTAGAATGTGGTTCATTGTGGGAAATACATTTCAGTACTTTTAGTTAAAACTGCCTCAACTGTCATGAAACATCTTCCATTGTTTATTTTGGGCCCATTATGCCTGCAATTTGAGAACTTTGTATTCTCTTACATAACTGTCAATCTCTTAATGGCTGATGGAGCGTTTTTTAATGTATCAAGTAATCTTTCTCCCATTCTGCAAAATAAAACACGTTTGTCTTCTGTTCTTGTTTGCTAGCCTGTGCAGGTTTAAAGTCTATGTCTCTGCTTTGGATTAAAGTGGTTTTGAATTATAATAGACTTCCACTGTATCATTAGTGTACAGTTTCCTGGTATGAGGGATGGAGCAGAAGGAGGAAATACCAGATTGCATTTCACTTGTGTCTTTTGGGGACTTGCCCCTGGCAAACTATTCATCCTGTAAATATAAACAAGATAGAAAATGATCCAGTTAAGAATTCCAGGTGTGTGTGAAAGAAAATTATTCACTGCATATAGAGAATGTAAAAATTTATAGAGATAATGTGCTGAAATGCAAAATATGAATCTCAATTATAGATTTCCCAGAAATATTTTTTTGCCCATGCTTTATTTGGCTTTGGATACCTTTAGCTTGGTTGAAGTTTCCTCTCCTTATGCAGCAGAGGGCACTGTGTATCCAGCATAAATGTAAAAGTAAGGAAATTCTTTTGTCAGTGTATTGTCATATAGTCAGTTATTACACTGCTTTCTTGAAATTTGGGATGAATGATATTTCACTTAATAGTGCATTACTATAGATTCTTTGGGCAAGAAGTTACAAAATTAGAGCTGTGGTGCAGGATTAAAAAATACAAATTTTTTTTTCCCGGAGTAGTTGTCCTTACAGGAAGATTTAAGAAGCCTTTTTAGGGTAATCAATTGTGGCAGGATTCAAATGAAATATGGTTTAGGTTTATCTCAGCTCTTTGGAGAAAGGTTTAATTTTTGTTTCTATTCTTGAGAATTTGAGAAAAAAGGGAGGCCAGTATAACTGAAAAATGTGTTCATTGCTTATGGTAAACACACTTTAAAAAAATGTGAATCAATTTTGCATAAAATGCCTTTAACCCGCACTTGGGTGAGGCAAA